TTAAGATGCTAAGCTGCCTCTAGTACAAAGCTGGGCTTAAAGGTACTAATCAGTGTCTGCCCTTCCTTGTTAAGCTCAGATTTTAATCAGAAAAGTGACCAAAAGTTTGTTCTAAAACATTGAAGCAGGTGCAGCAGCCAGTGCCAGCAGAGCCCTCCTGTCCCAGCCATGGTGGTGGCTCAGGGGTGACAGGGTTGTGACAGCCCTGCAGGGCTGGGGTGTTTTCTGACCAACCCTCAGGCCAGAGCAGCCCCAGAGGGTGCTGAGTGCTGTGCTTTGGGGCAGCTCCTGCAGCACAGCACCAGAAAAGCCCTCTCAGGTCCCAGGTTCCATTTGTGCATCTCTCCAGCTCCCAGCAGCCAAAGGCTCTGCCCAGCTCTGAGGGACCCTGGCACAGCCTGGAGCTGTCCCTGAGGGGGAGGGCACAGACAGGGACAGCCTGGCATGGCTCCATGGCACAGACAGGAACAGCCTGGCATGGGACAGACAGGGACAGCCTGGCATGGCTGGCATGGCACAGACAGGAACAGCCTGGCATGGGACAGACAGGGACAGCCTGGCATGGCACAGACAGGGACAGCCTGGCATGGCTCCATGGCACAGACTGGGCTGCCCTGCCCCAGCAGGGGCTCCAGCCCAGCCAGGACCCCGAGCTCCTCCTCTGGAAATGTGGAACAAATCCTTGCACAGTTCCATTCAATCAGTGTTGGAATTTGCTGCCCCGTGAGGGAACCAGCCCTGGCCAAGCCCCTGGGTGCTGCAGAGGGGTGAGAGCCTGTCTGAGCCCCACACACCTTTATGCACTCACTCCCTTTTTACCTCTCCAAGTAAAGGATGTGTCTTTTCTGTGCCAGTGTTGGCACCAAATCAGCCTGTAACCAAGAGACTCTATTTTTCTATGATTTACAGAAGTTTATTTGAAACTTGAATAAAGTCTTTTAGTGCTACCTGCCTGAAACTCAGAATTCCTGATGTGCAGCTGCAGAAGGAGCTGATCCCTTCCCAGCTAACCTCAGCCCCCAGTGGAAGCCAGGGGCTCTTTTATGTTTAATAACACCCACACTGCAGGATGTGCTGTTCCAGCCCACTCTGTGCTAGGAAATTAAACACAAGATGCTGGTTCTGTAGAAAAAAGCCCAAACATTTTAGTTAAAAAGCAGGAAAAAGTGAATACAAGCATTATCTCTGCTTGTGGAGGCAAAGAGAGCAGCACACAGGCTTGAATTTTCACTGCCCTGCAATTTCAACAGTTGAATCAAACAATTCCACATGTTCTCAGAGATGTTTTATTTCTCACATACCCAAAAGTACAGCTCTACCAGGACACACAGACACCATCACAGGAGGACATCTGCTACTTCAGTGCCCTGCAGTGGGCTCTTACAGGAGGTTTGAGGGTTTTGGCTGAGAAAAATGAGGATTTCAGTGTATAAAACCAAAGCCAGCTGCAAAGGAGAGAAAGTAAGTGCTGCTAAAAAACTTAATTAATGCCCATTTAATTTAGGTGTAACTGAAAGCTTGGAAGGGGGTGTTGGTGTCACTAAAAGCCAGCAAATGTGACTTGACTCCAATTTCACCTTCCAAGAGAGAAATAATCAGCTGTAAGGAGCATCACAAAGGTGTTGGAGGAATATTAAAGCTAACTGCATGCAGGAATCTTTGACAGCTGCTGTCAAGTAAATCTCTAATAGCTGTTCCTTGCATTAATTGCTCACAGTACAAACATTTGGGACATTAAAGCAGTGTGAGCTCATAAAATGCCTTTTGAAATGAGGGATTGAAAATGCCTTTTGAAATGAGGGATTGAAATGAGGGATTGAAAATGCCTTTTGAAATGAGGGATTCCCTGCCTGGAGCAGGGTTGGCCCCAGCCCAGTGTCGTGGGCAGCTGGGCTCACCAATTCCTACTGGGAACTGAGAGTGGATTATGGCATTTTCAGAATCTGCCAACAAACCAAACTGGGATTACAAATTGTTATTCACAGTTCCTGAAAGGGAACAGACAGAACCAGAGTGGCTGAGCAGAGAGCACAGCTGCACCTCAGTCACTCAGGAGTGCCTGGACAGCTCAGTGTCAGGAATTGTTCCCAACAGTGAGATCAGGAGCTGAGGAAGGACTGAGTCGAGCTCAGGAGCTGTGGAATGAGCTGAGCTCAGGAGCTGAGGAATGAGCTGAGCTCAGGAGCTGAGGAAGGGCTGAGCTGAGCTCAGGAGCTGAGGAAGGGCTGAGCTGTTCTGGTGCCTCCCTGAGAGAGCCCCCGAGCCGCCTCCCAGCGCTCCCCGGCTCCGGTGCCACCTGCGGGGCTGGAGCCGGGGCTGGAGCCGCCCCCGTGCCCCGGGGCTCAGCCTCCTCCTCCTCCTCCAGCGGAGAGCAGCAAAACACGGCTCAGACTGTGCCCTGAACCTCGGCTGAGGCCATCCAACATCCATTCTCATCCTCTGTGTTTGCCCTTCCCAGCCCAGGGAATGGGGCACCCCTGGAGAGCTCTGGCAATGCAGGTGCCACCTGTGGCTGTGTGACCCTGGCACAGCATCCTGCGCTCCCCTGCCCCCACGGGCATGGCACCAGCTCTGAGGTAGGTGTTGTGTTTGCATAGGGAATATCTGAACCAGGGACAGCCCCAATTTCCTGGGAGCCACTTTTTAACCAGCAGCTCCTTCCCTGCACACAGCCCGAGCTCAGGGGCCTCACTGCAGGGAGGGCTTTGCTGCACCACCCACAATGAGCCCATTGCCCAATTTCTGATTTCTGAGGATCCAAAATCCCTCCCAGACTCAGCTCACTGTGAAGAAAACTCTGAGTTTATTTTCTAAGCACACTGATGTAGTTTGAGGGGGGAAAGGTGATGTAGAACAATTCTGTGTCTCTGGTATCTGCAGTTCATAAGGTCAGGTTTAGAAAGCACAGCACAGCATCCAAACTGTTGCTCTCTTTCTCCTGTTAATATTCAGGAGAAGAAGGAAAAAATACTGAATTATTTAAATTGATTTCAGAGTAAATTGTCAGATGGGATAAAGCAGGCAGCCTTGCCAAGCAGAGGTCACAATCTGCTTCACAGACCTGTGCATGATCTCTGATGGGCAGAGGAGTGGGACTACCAAGGGACAGGAGGAAAAACTGGGATTGGGATGTCCCCAGAGCCAGGAACACCCTGAGGAACCAGCCCTGACCTCACCCTTCAGAGATCTGCCAGGGCCAAATTCCTCCACTGACAAAAGTCAAACTTCTGGTGAGCAGAAAACAGCACATCCCACATTTCAAAACAAAATTACAAAAAAAAACAAATTCAGGGCAAAGCAAGAGATTCTTACCCAGAGCAAACCCAGGAACAGGATGTGAGCAACCCTGTGAGAAGGGAAGGTAAAATCCTGAAACAGCACAGGGGGACAGGGCTGGGTTTGCTCCTGGGGCTTTGAGAGTCTGAAACTGTTTCTAAATTAGATTTTATTCTGGGTCAAGGATTTTCCATGAGGGATACACACATGCACTTCTGCTTCCAGAATTCCTGACCTTCCAGAGGAAATGTAGGAATTACATTTACATTTGCCCATCTTTATCAGACTCCAGTTATGCTGAAATGCCAGAGACAGAAGTTTCATTTGTCTGGGAGAAACATGAAAGTCTATGGAACAACTGAGAATTGGAAATCAGAACTTCCCTGAGCTCTACATAACAAAGTTACCTGTTCACAGGGAGAGATGCAAGGTGCAGAGTGATTCCCTTGGCTCCAATCCTTAAAAAACCCCACAAACAACTCAAACCCATGTCAAGTTCTTTGTCTCCCATTGTCCCAAGTATTTTGGCTCTTTTCTCATTTGGCAGAGCCTGGTGCTTCAAAACCAGTGATTATAAAAAAAACAGGGTGGGAAGGAACAACTTCACAGATTCCTGAATAAAAACTTGGTGAGTATTTGACACCTGCTCTCATCATTTTTTCACCTGGACAAGAACATGGATAACTTTGCTCCCCAACCTGAGTAGAGGAACAATCAGAGATTAGGGACAAACGTGGCATTTTTGGTGTGTAGGAAGACAGTGCATCTTCATGACAACTCCTGAACTCAATCCTTGTTTCTTAATCCTAAAAAACAGTCTAAAAAAGCACAGGACTCTCACCTTTCCTTGCAAGGAAGGTGACACAAGCCCTTACCCAATGCAGCCCTTTTGCAAGAACATCCATTGATCACAAAGATCAGGACCCAAGCAGAAAGATTGCTTGGGATTGAAGACAATCAGTTATTCCTTTCTAAAACAAAGTTCATCCCATTAAAAAAGGTGACTGTATTTAATAAATAGTCATTTCTGACATAATAAGTTAAAAATTAATTTAAAATAAGCTAGTATAGAATAAATAGGCTTCAGTAAGTGCTTACATACATACATGCCTCTCTGAATGGTTTCAAGTGAGCTCATGTTTAAAAAAGCAAGTTCTGTAATACTGCCAGAAAATCTTGTGCCTTCAGGAAATCAAATATTGCTTTTCTTAGCCCTTTGGGACTGGATTCAGTTCCCATCCACTCAGGAATGGGACAGACCTACTCATTATTGCTGTAAACCTGAGTAAAAAGAAACAATAGTTTGGAAGATGCCACTCACTGCAGGCAGATTCAATGCCTGGGATTTCTAAAAAAAAAACAAAAACCAAAAACCTTTTGACTTTGTTTCTCAGCAGGGTTAAAAAAATCCAACACATTTCCCAAAGCATCCTGCCAGACCAGGAGAGTTTTTGGTTTGGCCTGGAAGTGATTTCTGAACCATGCTGCCTGTACCCAGGTGTTGGCAGCTCCTGCCAAGGCCCTGCCCCTGGAATGCCCCCCTGACTGCCCAGTGTGGAAGCAGAACCCTGTGGGCATCCAGGACATTCCCTTGTTTTGCCACCCAGGAATTCCCTCAAGGTGCAGCAGGTAAGGCAACATCAGCCTCCTCTGGGGGAAAGAACTGAAAAGAGCCCTTTGGAGTGGAGTGGGTTCCTGAAAACCCACAGGTGGTGAGGGAGGAGCAGGCAGCTGACCCCAAACCCCTAAACCTGCCCTTGGGATTTCAGTTTTTGTGGTTGAAGCAGCCCCCAGAGGCCTCTCTGTGTCCAAATGGCTGTGGCTGCCCCACGGCTCAGCCCTGGAGCTCTTTGGTTTGGATGCCCCTGGTGCTGCAGCCCTGGCTCTGCTATCTGGAGAGGTGGGAGCTGCTCTGGGACTGGCTGGAAGATGTGGTGACTCCACTCAGCTGGGAAAAGCCACTGGTGCAGGATTCCAGGCTGGACATGGATCCTCTGGCATGGGACAGAACAGATGTGCTGTTAGCAAGGCTGCATTGGGGGGTTCCTCCCACAGATCAGCTCCCCCTCTCCAACATCTGCACAATTGCTTTTGGGCCCATCATTTCCCACTTGCTCTCTAAGAATCTCTGTGTCATGATGAAAAATTCATCAGTCAGAGACATTTTTTCCCATTTACAGATATTATTCCTTGTCTCTGAGTATTGTTCTGGGGAAAGGGACAGAGCTGGAGCCTCAGAGGTGAAAGAAAAAGCTCCAGAGGACTCCAAATGCAGCCTTGGGAACCCAAGGGCTCCAGGCTCTGAACAGCAGAGTCCCAACTCAGCACCTCCAGCTCCTCCTGCCCAAAGCAGGCTGGGCTCAGGAAGAGCCCCAAGAAGAGCAGGACTGCAGTGAGGGATTTCTGCTGCTCTGACCCCACAGCACCTGGCCAGGTCACACCTCAAGCCACCACCTTCAGGTCTGCTCTGCCCAGTGCCTCCTCCAGCTCCAGGGAAGGGCCAAGGCTTGCACAGAGCTCAGACTGACAGATGGGGAGGTGATTCTGGCATTGAAGGGGCCAGGCACACCCTGCCAAGGCTGGCTGTTCACCTGTCCAGAAGTGCTCATCCTTCTCAAGTGCCAAACAAAATCATCTGGGAAACAGCCCAGCTGATATTTAAATTACTCCAAAAGCAGCTTCTCAAAATATTCCCAACTAAGATAAAAACCCTCTTGAGTCAAAAATCTCCTCCTCTTCAGGCAGCTGCAAGCAAGGCCCAAACCACAAATTTCACTGACGGACAGATTCAAGGGAATCTGAAAATGCCACCAATTCTGTGCCCATCCACTTGTCAGTGAAACACACCCCCTGTGGGGGTCTCTGATATCCAAGTGTTTAACTCACCCCCAGTGCAACTCGTAGTAAAGCCCTTGTAAATGCCCTACCTGAAGTCCTTGGAGGCCAGCACCTCGTAGTAGTAGATGAGCTTGCACTTGTGGCTGGAGCCCTGCAGGGAGGCCAGGACATCGTCCACACGGGGCAGGCTGGAGCTGGAGCAGGGCAGGGGCCCGTGCATCCTCCACTGCAGGATGTAGAAGCCAGGCCAGCGAGTGACATGGGAGCCCTGCAGAGAGGGAGAGACAGCAGGTGAGCACGGGGGAATGGGGGAAGGCCTCAATGACCCAGCACAGGTGGCATTCACCTGTGTCACCTCCCTGAGACACAGCCCTGTAGTACCAGCAGGAAAATAAAAAAGCTTATTTAGCTTAATTTCCATTAAGAATTTTAGCTTGGAGTCTCTTTCCAATGACTCACTCTAAATAAAGATTTCCCACTTTCACAGGGCATCCAGAAAATGATCACAGAATGGTTTGGGTGGGAATGGACCTTAAAGCCCATCCCCATCCCCATCCCACTGTCCCAGGCTGCTCCAAGCCCTGCCCAGCCTGGCCTTGGGCACTGCCAGGGATCCAGGGGCAGCCACAGCTGCTCTGGACACCCTGTGCCAGGGCCTGCCCACCCTCACAGGGAACAATTCCTCATTCCCAATATCCCATCCATCCCTGCCCTCTGGCAGTGGGAGCCATTCCCTGTGTCCTGTCCCTCCATCCCTTGTCCCCAGTCCCTCTCCAGCTCTCCTGGAGCCCCTTCAGGCCCTGCCAGGGGCTCTGAGGTGTCCCTGGAGCTTCTCCTCTCCAGGTGAGCACCCCCAGCTCTCACAGCCTGGCTCCAGAGGGGCTCCATCCTTGGGGTGTCTCCATGGGCTCCCCTGGACTCTCTCCAGCAGCTTCAGGTCCTGCAGCTGTTGGCCCCAGGGCTGGGGCAGCTCTGCAGGTGGGGTGTCACCTGAGTGGGGCAGAAGGGCAGAATCCCCCCTTCTGCTGCTGGGAATGACCACAGCCCCCTTTTCCAGCAGTTCCTGATTTCCCACACCACCAATTCCCTCCCCACCACTCCACTCTGGAGCTGGCAGGACCCTGAGGCCATGGCAGGACCCCAGCCCTCTGACCTGGATGCTCTCTCCTTCCCTGCAGATCAGGGGAGACTCCACCCTGCTGTAATCCACCCCCAGCACCCAGCTCCTGTCAATGAGCTGCACATTGTCCCCTGCACCACAGGGACTTGGTGCTGTGGCTTCTTTGTGACTTGGCTCAGGAGCTCGTTTGGAGTGGAAGAGGCTGAACACCACATCTCCCTTCAGGATGTCAAAGTCCCAGGTGATGACAGATTCCCCCTCCAGGATCTCCACGAGTATCTGGGAAAGGAACAGAACAAGCCCCTTGCAGGGTCAGGTGCTCAGGTGGCAGCACTGTGCTCCTCCCCACTCTGGGGCAAACAGACTTGGCTCCACAACCCTTCAGCTGGGTGATGGTCCTGGTTCCTGAGGGGGATACAGCACCTCCCACTCCCAACCCTACCACTCAAGAGTTTTTACCTTTCCTCCCCATATCAGAATTGCTTGTAAATGAGTAACTTGTTCTAGGAAAACCTCAGTGGAACTGAGGAAACAGCCAAATCAGAGTCAATCCCCATCAGAGAGGCCGGAAGACTGATCTGACACTGATTTGCTCCTTTTTGGGACATCCTGTTTGGTGGTGACTCCCAGCACACACCTTCCTTTATCACCCCCATTACTGTCCCAGCTACACCGCTGGGAATGGGAGCTGAACTATCACAAGGGACACTGAGAGCCCTTTATTTCTCCCAAGAGGAGGAGGAGGAGGGGGAGGAGACTGGACTTTACAGAAGATCAGGCCACAGCAGAGATAGGAGCCACTGCTGCTCACACTGCTGCTCTTCACTCCCACACTTGCAGCTGCTCCCTTGCAGGAACAGCAGCTGCTGCTGAGCTCCCAGTGCTGGAGCCCCTGGCTGCCCCAGCCAGCCCAGCAGAGGGGACACCTGTCACTGTGCCACCCCACAGCTCAGGTGTGCTCTGTACCTCGTGTGGGGCTCCTCTGAGGACGCTGGCAGAGTGGTAGATGGTTTCTGTCCACAGCCGGATGTGATCCGAGTTCTCGGGCTCGTCCTCGCTCTGGTACAGGGACTTGGGGACCAGCCCCCCCTCTGAGACAGTGCACTGCAACATCACACAGACAGACAGACAGACAGGGGCTCAGCATGCTCCAGCAGTGAGCCAGCACCTCCTGTGGCTGTCAGATATGGGCTGAGCCCTCAGCTGGGCCAGAACTGCACTGGGCTCTGAGCTCATGGGAACCACTGAGGTCTCTGTGAGCTCCCTGCAGAGAGCTCTGCTCTGACCCTGCTGCAGTGCTGGGGAAGATGAAACAGGAAAGCCTTATAAATATGATTGCCTGGCAAAAGATTTTGAGAATATGTAAACTATAAGCGAGATTGAAATGAAAGCAAGCTTTGAGATCCCTCAGTTACTGAACAACTGGAAAACAATGGTGTGGCTGCTGAAGGTAATCTCCTTTTGGTGAAACAACACCCTCTGCTTGCAGACAGGCCCAAGGGTCAGAGCAGACCCTACTAGTTTAGCAGAAGGGGCCCAAAGAGGAGTTTTTAGGGTTTAAAATGTAACCCAGTGTGGTAATGTAATGATTCTTACAGGCTGTATGGAAATGCTATAGGATTTGTATCTTCTACTAGATTGGTTAGTGAGAATTAGAATATTCAACACAGAAGAAGATTTATTGTATTGTAATGGGAACCTCGCTCTCTCACCCTTTTACTCTCTTCCCCTCTCACCACCTCTCCCCCTCTCTTCTCTCAGCCTGCTCTGAGCTGTGGCTGCAGCTCCCAGCAGGGCCCTGCCCCCAGGCCCTTTGCAATAAACCCCAAGTTCCTGACCTGGCTGCAGAGATCTCTGTCTCTGTCCTGACTGTCCTACCCCACAACACTCCTACACCCCAGGATCCCAGGGCAGCACCAGCACTGCAGGGGGCAGCCCTGTGTGCCCAAATGATCTGCCCTGTGCCCACAGCAGGGCCATGCTGGCCAGCACTGAGGCTTAACCCCTTCCAGAAGGCAGTGGAAGGCCAGGGAGGAGAGGAACAGGAAATCAGTTCCAGATTGCACCTGCACAAGGGGAAGGAAAACTCACCATGCAGTCTCCTCCCAGGAAGTCTGGGATCACATCCTTGTCCACATAGTCCACCAGCCCTCCTGAGCCCTGGTAGTTATTGCCACTGTAGATGAGGAACTTCTGCCTTGTGTTCTCATTGATAAAGGGACTGACCTGCAAGACAACGGGCACACAGGACATGGCTGTCACTGAGGGCAGCTGGGGACACTGGCTGAGCCATCTCATGACATGTCTCAGCAGTGTGCAGAGCTTCACAGCTCTGAGGCACTTCCCAAAGAGAGGGACAAACTGAAAATGTTCTCTCTCTCTGTAACACCAACTCACAGCACTTTCTGCTTCATGTAAAGGAAGTCTGCAGTCACTGCCTCACCCACAAACCTCACAAGAAATGTGACAACCATGTTCTCACACTGCCAGAGCAGTCAGCAGGCACCAGGCAGAACCAGATTTACTATTTACTACTTATTATTACTACTTATTATCCTTCAGTGTCCTACAGCATGAGATTAAAAGGTATCTGTCTTTGCCCATTTACATGAAAGCCCACCAAGTTTGGGTGGAATGGGCAATTGCAATCCAGGCTTCTCATCCTGTCCTGGTGGATGGCAGTGACCAGAACCCAGTGAGCTGCAGGCACCTCATGGCCTGGTTCTGCTGAGGCTCTTCAGGAGCTGCCCATAAGCTGCCTGGAGATTTTCCCTCCCTTCCTCTGCTGATGTAGCCCAGGTTTCACCCACCAGGGTCCAGAGCACAGGGAAGACCCGTGGTGCCCTCACAATCAGGAGCCTCCCCAGGGTCTCAGGGTAGTTGTCCTCCACCACCTCGATGATCCTGAGCAGGGCCTTCACCCCAGGCCGCCAGAGGTGCCTCATATTGAGCCCTTCCAAGTCCACCAGGCATGTCCAGGATCTAAAATAAACAGGCAGAAAAAAACCTGTCACAACTTTAGAGTGTGGTGGCTGCTCAGTTTAGGATCCACAGTGACCCCACAGCCCCTGCAGGACCCAGGGACGCCAACAAGGGACACAAGCAGCTCCAATAAAAGCACATCTCCACTTGGGCAGCAGAATCCAGGTGAGCTCCAGGTAACACACACCCCCAACCCCAAGGGCAGGAACATCTGTCACTCTGGAAGAAGGTGGTGAAGGCATGCAGGCCTATTGCTAAAAATAATGTAAAAATTCATTTTAAATGAAGATAGAATCTGGCAGACAGGCTCCTGTATTAAAAACCCAGAATTTCAAAGATGTGGATTAAAATCATCAAGACAGAAAGATTAAATTAATCTGAGATGGGATACGAAAATGATGTAAGGAAGGATCAACACTTGCTTTCCAACAAAACTGCAGAATTTGTCTGCATTTAAGTCCAACAAATAAATATATAAATATTTTACGGGCTAGATGGGGACCACAGACACACTGGTGTCTGCACTGTAACCCTAAGGACATCACCCCAAACCACAGCAGCATCCTTCACCATGGCCCTGAGAGTCTGCAAGGGCTCAGGAAAACCAATATGAATCAGTTATAAACCAATGATTGATAAACCAATGATAAACCAATGATAAACCAGTTATAAACCAATGATAAACCAATGATACTGACGTGATGGGGCGGCCGAAAATGTTGGTGTTTTCCTCACATCTCTTCTGTCCCTCTTCATTAATGGACAGAACCTGGAATCAAAGATAGCACAGACAGGGATTAGCCTGAAAATGGCTGAGTAACCAGGATGATTTGAAGATCTTCTTTTTAAAAATACAGAAAGCAGAGGGCAGGGATGGATGGGATATTGGGAATGAGGAATTGTTCCCTGTGAGGGTGGGCAGGCCCTGGCACAGGGCGCCCAGAGCAGCTGTGGCTGCCCCTGGATCCCTGGCAGTGCCCAAGGCCAGGCTGGGCAGGGCTGGGAGCAGCCTGGGACAGTGGGAGGTGTCCCTGCTCAAGACAGTGTGGGGTGAGATGAACGTTAATGTCCCTTCCCACCCAAACCATTCCAGGACTCCTGATGCACCATGCCAAGACTTCCCAGCACCCTGAGGGGACAGGTGGCACACAAAGGCACAGCTCACGTGTCGCAGCAGGGACTCCTCTCCCAGGGCCTTCACCAAACCCTTGGTGTCCATCTGCCCGAGGCGGAGGATGTAGAGCGGCCGCCCATCTTCAAGCAAAGGGGTTAGAGAGGGCAGAACTTTAGTCTCCCAGCATATCACTCTCATACCCTTTTCAAAAGCCACATTAAATATTTGAAAAGGATAAAAATCACTGCCAAAAGCAACCTGTTCAGAGAAATTGCTTTGCACTGACTGATCTGTGCAGAGGAAATACAATTACAGGGACTCACAGGCACTGAACTGCTTTGTTAACTTTAAAAATGTCAATACTGCTTTCCTCAACATCCCAGGCCACCAGTGAGGTGCCAAGGGCATAAAATAAAATAACCCTCCATAAAATCAGAGGGTTTTGGGAAAGCTGCAAAAGGCAGGCCTCAGAGACAGCAGGACTGTGATTGGAGCTGAGCAGTAGCCATAGGATTGGTCAGCAGAAAAATTATGTAAAACGTAGGAATGTAAGGATAAATAGAACAATGGTCTGTGTATTAATGCTTGTCTAGCATAACTCCCTAAGCTGCAGAAAAGTTTATCTAGTGAGATACTAGGAAGTTTTAAGCTTAATAATAGAGCTCTGTGTGTTGTGTTTTAAGGCTCACAAGCAGGTATTGTATCCAAAATAAGCAAGCAGTGTTTAACCAAAGGTACCTGTGCTTATAGTGCTTGGATAGAACTACTGTCAGTGTGCTTTTGCTTTGTGTGATTGGTCAGAAAACTTTTATAGTAAGTTCTAACATTGAGTTCTTGGTCTGCTACTGGCATCTTCCCATTGTCATCCCCATGTAATGAGAGTGGTGGTGGAAAATCAAACAGCTCAAGGCACGTTCCCAGCAGTCCCATCCCATTTGTGATTTGTACAGAGCCCCTGGCTGGCAATCCTCACCTTTGTCCTGGTAGTGCCACCCCCCAGTGTAGTACTCCTGCAGCAGGGCTGGGGGTCTCCAGGACTGCAGGATGAGATCCACCTGGTACTGCTTGCGCCAGGCCAGTGACTGGCACAGCATCTCCCGCGCTTTGTCGATGTTGAAGTCGCGGGCGCGCAGGAACCGCAGGATGTGCTCATCCTTGGGGATCTGCCAGGAGAGACAACCCCAGGATCAGCACTGCAATGTCCCATCTGGCCTGCAGAGGAGGCTGCAGTTGACACCAGTTTTTAATCTCTTCAGAGTAAGACAGCAAACATCAAAGTTCCCTTCTGCCTCCCTCCCTCGGCAGCTAACCCAGCTGGAAGCAGCAGAGGGTGCAGGAGCACAACAGCAGAGACCAGCTCACTTCACTGGCTGTGGGAAGCCCTTCCCCAGGGCAATTCCCAGGAGCTCCAGCAAACCCTGGCCTGGCTGATGTTTCCCCTGGCTGGTTATCCTCAAGGATCTCCAAATCACTGTGTGAAAGTCAGGGAGCTGCAAGTTCACCTGCCCAGGGCAAATCAGCACAGGATGGGAACAGGTACCAAACAGCCACAGGTAACACACTGAGCACAGAGGCACTGCAGGGAATCACAGCTGTGCAGTCTGAATGATGCCACCAGTACCAGTTCCAGCTCTTGTGCAGGCCCTGCTGCTGGTGTTGGAACAGGAAAGCTGCTGAGTGCTTCAAAGGCTTCCCTGCCCCATTACACCACAATAACTCTTGATCCAAATCAGCCCAAACTACAACACACCCTCTCCCAACCACTCACCCCAGCACTAGCACTAATCCTCACATCACAGGCACAAAAGCTTCCCAAAGCAAGTCTGCAGAATGGCTTATCCCAACCTCCTTCCAGATCTGCCATGTTCTCTTTAGCTGAGGAATCAAAGACAGCTTGGCAGGAGTGCCAAGCAGCAGGAATTAACAACAAACCTGATGGATCCCACAGAAGTGCCAAATCTGACTAAGAGCCTGTCAGCTGCAAATCCAACTGGATTAGAGCTGCATGTGCTGCTGGATTCACAGTCCCTCACTCCAACTTCTCCAAAAGTGTTTGGCCTCATTCTCTACAAGTTTCCATAAAAAAAATCCAGCTCTGTGGAGCAGGGATTGTCTCTTCCAGAGTATCCATGTTGTGCTAGCACAAGCCAAGCACTCCCAGCCCTGCTGGGACACAAACCCCCATGTTCAGCAGTCAAAGCTCCTTTGTTTGTCCACTGCCATGCTCAGGGAAACAGAAAGCTGGGTAGAAAGCAAGGCTGGCAGCTGTGTCAGGAGGGAGCAATCTTGGATTGACAAGCAAGAGATGGTAAGAATTGGCTCACCTACAGAAGGGGCAGAGTTCAGGCAGCCTAAACCAATCCTGAAGCACCTTAGGAGCAGTGGGGAGGTTAACACTGGTTCTAACAGTGCATCTGTGTGTCCTGGAAAGGAGAGGGCAGCCCTCCCAAAGATGATCTCAGGAGTATGTAGAGGAATTCAGTACGACAGCAAGTTTAAAGCCAGCAGAATGTTCATCAGATAATTCAGGTTTGTGTTCCTGTGGCTCAGAGGCAGCTGTCACTCACCAGGCCCAGCCCAGACACCCACAACAGCTCCTGGATCCCTGCAGGAGAGGGGATGGCTGCTGGAGGGTTTGATATTTTCCTGTTTCAAACCTCCCCTGTGCAGGGCTCCAGGCAAGAGGCAAATCCAGCACTTCAGTTTGGACCAAAGGCAGGAAGCTCCAAGAGGACTCATTCCACAGCAGAATTAATCTTTTATCCTTGTCCAACCAAAGCAGCAACTCCCACATGCAAGAAAATGAAGGTTTAATTTCAGCCTGCTTTTGTATTCCCTGGTAAAACTGCTGCACTCTCCTGCATGCTGCAAAGCCTTGAACAGAGCTTTAAGCTGTTGCAGTTTTAACACCATTTACAGTTTGTTCCTTCAACTCCTCAGATTTTTAAGGAACAACATATCTGATTGTAAAGGTAATGTCTGCTTTGGAAGGAATGGGGGAAAGATAGTGAAATAGGACAGAGGACAAAAATAAGAAGGGCCATTTTCCAAGAAACAGGAGATCTATTTTTTGATAATTTCTGATAGAGGAATAAGGCCATCCCTGCTCTGAATTAAAAGAACAGATTGTCACAGCAAGGTAAGAGCCTCTCCAGGGACAACCCCAGCCTTGCAGGAGAAGCTCCTGATTTTGGTCAGCACTGTCAGGGCATCAGGAGAAGCAGCTGAGCACTCAGGGGGTTCAATGTGAAGTTTCAGCAGCCAGCACCTCCCCTCCTGTGTGCCCACATCCTCCTGGGGACAGGGCCCAGCAAGGCCACCCAGAGGCAGCTCCAGTGTCCCCAGAGCTCAGGATTCAGCTGCACTGCTCAGGGGACAGGGGCTGCCACTCCCTGCCCAGCACCAGGCACCAAGGGGCAGCTGCTCCACATTTGGCTTATGTGTTCTCACCTTTTCCTTCCCCAGCCTCTGACATGGAGGGGGAAAACCAACCTGTGGGTTGATACTTTTCAACCTAAACAAAGGTTTAGGTGGTGCCTGTTCCAGGTGAAAGCAGGATCCCTGCAGGTCACAGCAGGGACAAAGCCTCCCTGTCTCTGGGATGTCCTCCCATCCAGGACCCACTAGGTGAGAGATCTCCTACCCCAGTGGAGCCCACACCACTTCACTGTCCAGGGCTCCATGAAAAGCCTCCTGAGAGCCCACTCACACCTGGGGACTGACCCCTGCCTGTCCAGGGCCTCCCATCTGACTGGAGGCTGGATCACAGCAGACACAGATCAAAGCAGCTTCCAGCAGAGCCCTTTTCTTGGTGAGGCTGCTCCTGCTCACACAGCTCACTCACTGCCCCAAGCTCCTTCCTCAGGGGCAGAGCATCACAGGGACACAAGAGCAGCTGCCAGGAGGTGTCACAGCCCCTCAAGGGGCCCTTTGCTACATCAGGTGTGTATATATACAATATATTATATATCACATATACCATATATTATATATCACACATACAATATATTATATATCACACATCTGTTCCTGCAGTCTCTACCTGCCTCCAGCAGCCCCCATCCTTCTGGTCCAAGGTATCCAAGGTGCTGCTGTTGATGCCACTGTACCCCAGTGGCCTTGGCCAGCTCTGGCAGATGTTTGGGGATAGGAATTTATCAGCTCTAACAATTCAACAGCACTGTGGGTGTCTGGAGCTTATCAGCTGCTGGGAGCCTCTGACACTGCCCCAACACCTCCTGCTCTCTTCAGAGTGAGGTTTGCTGGGAGCTGTTTCTCCATCCACATTCCTGGGTACCAACAAAACCCACGTGCCTGCTCACACTCAAGGGAACTTCAGGACAATTGCACTAAATCTTTGTTACATTTGATTTCTACAGAGGTGATTCACATTCACTTTTCCAAGAAAAAACAGCATTCTAAATCATGTTCAGACTCCCTGTACTCAGATGAGACATGCTCAGCTCTGAGACACACAGCACAGCATGCAGGACTGGCAAAGCTCCTTGTAAGCAGCAGTGTCTTTTGGAAAGGCCAGGTAAAGGGAAAAGAATGAAAATCTTCCCAAGCCCAGGAATGCAGAGTACCTCACCTAACCCATCCTGACTGACTGAGCTGATTCCTTCTAAGCCAGGAAGCTTTTACTGTTGAAACCTCATCCAGCTGCTTTCTGCTTCCAAGCAGGATCGCTTGCTCCTCTTCCTCAGCATCTTTTATCCACTCAGCCCACCCAAGTACTCTCTCTGGTGCTATCCTTGGTTCTTCTTTCCTTCCCTCCTAATCCCTCTCCATCAGGAAATCTGGAGTTAAACCCCTTTTGAGGCATTTAAGCTGCTCTAGACCCTTTCTTTTCCCAGCCACCTATCAGTTACCCTGCTGGTGTGACAGAGACTTTCCTTTAACCAGAAGGAGCCCACGACATTCCAGCAGAGCAGAGACACATCCATCCCTCAGTGCCTGTGCTGCTTCTCAGGGAAATATCAGAGAACCATGGAATTTCCTTGAGCAGGAAGGGATCATGGAGTCCAACCCCTGACCCTGCACAGACACCCCAACAATCCCACCCTGTGCCTGAGGGAGGTGTCCAAACACTCCTGGAGCTCTGGCAGCCTCAGGGCTGTGCCCATTCCCTGGGGAGCCTGGGCAGTGCCAGCACCCTCTGGGGGAAGAGCCTCTCCTGATCTCCAACCTAAACCTGCCCTGGCACAGCTCCAGCTGTTCCCTGGGTCCTGTCCCTGGTCACAGAGAGCAGAGATTGGAGCTGCCCCTCAGGAGGAGCTGCAGCCCCAGTGAGCTCTGTGCTCCATCTCCTCTCCGCCAGCTGAACAGGCCAAGTGCCCTCAGCTGCTCCTCTTATGGCTTCCCCTTGAGACCCTTCCCCATCATCATGTTCCTCTTTTGGACACTTTTTGACAGCTTTAGATCTTTCTGATACTGTGGTGTCCAGGACTAGAGGTGAGGCCACTGTGGCACAGAGCAGAGCAGGACAGTGCCCTCAGTGTCTTTGGGCTGCCAGGGCTGGCTCATGCTCAGCTCAACATCCACCAGCACCCCCAGCTGGTGGTGTCACACTGCAGCCTCTCATTCCCCTGTGTGTCTGTGCAGCCAGGGCTCCCCATCCCAGCTGGGGATGCCCCTCAGTGCCCCTCAGTGCCCTGCCCACCTTTCCCTTGTGGGTCTCCTGGAGCCACTGGCGCAGGCGGATCAGGCAGCTCTCCTGCAGCGGGGTCAGCTGGCCCAGGTAGCGCTCAATGTAGTCAGAGTCCAGTTTGTCACCTGCAGGGGGACAACAGCTCAGAGCAGAGTGGCACAGCCAGCAGGGAGGGGAGCAGGTGCTTCTGCACATTGGGCTCCCTATGGTTTACATGGGATTTGCTCAGAAGCCTCATCCCAGCAGCCTGAGGGAGGGAGAGAGGGACACTCTCCTGGTGATTGGGGCACAAAACCACAGCAGCATGTGCTGGATCACAGCTGGATCACTCCACCTGGCTCTGCCTCCAATATTCCATTCAGCCCTGAACTGCTCCAGCAGGAGCTTTAAAAGATCTATCATGAGCTCTGGCACTCAGCTCACCAAGCACTCCAAGACCTGGGCACTTCCATCTCCACCTGTCCTAAATCTCACCCACAACTGCAGTGACAAGTGGCTTGCTGGGAAACCAAGCCATTCTTCTGCCCAGGGACACAGAGACTGAGGGAGAACAACAGCACATTTCTGACAGCCAGGGAGGATTCTGGCAGGAGGAGAAGTCCTGTGCACACCAGGCAGCTCCTCCAGCCCAGAGACAAAGGACAAGGGGTTGGTGACTGCCAGCACCGAGGGACAGGGGGATGTGACAGAGGGATGTGACAGGGGATGTGTCACCCAGGGCTGGCAGGTGCCAGCCAGCAGAACAGGGCAGCTGGGGGGAGCAGCCCAGGCAGCAGATGGGGTGGAAGACACAGGGAGCAGGGCTGGGGACACCTCAGAGCTGGCTCTTTGTCAGGCACAAGGTTCCAGTAGATGCCATCACCTACAGAAGGAGGCCTGGACACCCACAGGATAACAGAAATTGCATTTGGAAGTGAGACATCCCATGGAACCCCCAGAGCCAGCAAGGTGGGGAGCAGGCCCAGGGGAGCTAATCCTGTCCTGAGCAGGAATATGGGCAGAAAAATAAAGGCTACTCTCCTCTTCTGCTAGCTGGGACTCACCACTCTGAGGACAACATTAATCTCAAACATTTCTCCTATTCAGCTTCTCTGTGGATTCCCATCTTTTCCCAGAAAAGCTCCCAGAGAATGTCAGGTGAGAGCAGAACTACTGATATTTCCAAATTCCAAGCTTTTTGCCTAGTTACACTCAGCAAAAAAAGTGCTGCCTTTACTTCCCAGGAATGACAACAACTGTTTCTATTACAACAACTCTGGATTCAAAGGTCCCTCCTATTTCTTTTCGCCAGAGAAATCTTTTATTTAGTCTAGAAAATATCATCAGACCAACACATGGTAAGATAAACTTTGATTCAGGCATTTTGTGGGAAAAATGCATTAGGAGACATTCCTCAAGTTTGTCTTGGCCTGATACAGGACCAAAAACCATCCAAACCTGTCCCCAAGAACATTAATTTTGGAACAGATAAAATATTTAATTCCAGCATACTGAAGGCATCTTCTCTAGTTTAAAGTATAAAATACCTGATCAAACCTAATTTTTTTCTAAGCTCCAAAACATACTGCCTGCACAGCTTTTTTGTTTTAGGGGAAAGAAAAAGTTCCATTGTTTATTTTCCTTGAAAAAAGAAAATAGCTTTCCCTCCTCCTCCCCCACACTCCAGATGAAAAACCTGATGCCAAGAGAAATGGAAATAAGCTCGTGGGTCAGTGAGAGCTGCAGTGCCTACCGTCGGGGCTGGCAGGCTCCGGGGGCGGGCAGGGGCTGCCAGGAGGGTCCCTGCTGGTGCCAGCAGCCCCGGATTCCTGCGGGGTGGCACCGGGGGCCCGTGCCAGCGCTGGGGCTCGCTCCTCCTCCGCCGCGGGAGGGCTCCAGCGAGGGATGAACGTGATCCCCTGCGAGATCAGCTCCTTCAGGTAGTGCTCGATCACCTCCTTGCCCTGGAGGGGAGAACTCTCGTTAGGAAAAGCCTCCTGCAGAGCCAGCAGGGCACTGGAGTTTGCTCAGGACAGATGATGAATGCTGCTAAGGGTAAATGGAGGGGAAATCTCTCCTTCCATCCCCGTGATCCTGTCAAAAAACCTCCAGTATCCAAGCCCCCTGTGAATGATGAATTACAAATAATGACCAGGAAAATCCCAGTTATGGATGCCTTTCTAACACTTTTACCCCATCCTCCTGCTCTCAAACCCAATTAGCTGCCCTGTTCCTCTGCACACAGAGCCACTGTCCCAAGCCCAAGCTCTGGAGATACAGGGAGTGTTTTTCAGCCAGGACTTTCCCTTCCTGCATAAGAAGAGTGTGCTCAGTGCCCAGCAGCGCTGCACCCACAGCACCCCGTGCCCTGCTCCCCTGGCACAGCCACATCCCAGCCAGCTCTGCTCTGCCCTGGGCTCTTTGCCTTCCTTTGCCCACCTGAGGGACTCCAGAGCCACAAGCAAGGGCACAAAGCTCAATTGGGTGTGTTTACAGAAAGGAAAACAGAGGGCCTGGGTGCTCAGGCAGCCAAAGAAGCCCAGGGGCAGTCAGGGAGGCCCAGGGGCAGCCAGGGAGGCCCAGGGGCAGCCAGGGGAGCCCAGGGGGCAGCCAGGGGAGCCCACAGGCAGCCAGGGAGGCCCAGGGGCAGCCAGGGAGGCCCAGGGGCAGCCAGGGAGGCCCACCTTACCCGTTTGATGTTGGAGGTGTACTGCTTCATGGCAATTTTTTCCACGGTGCTTTCAAAGCCAAAAAAGGATTTGATGTCGAGAGAGGCTGACTGCTCAAAGCAGGTCCAGTCCTCGTTCTCGGGGTGAACCTGCAGCCAGGGGAACACAACACACAGGAGGGATGGGGGCACAGGGCTCATGGCCCTGGCACCACAGAGAGGGGGCAGAGGAGGCACTGCCACACCTGGAGTCACCAGCCAGGTCCATTCCCCTTGTGAGAACCCTTTGTGAACTGGACATCCAGACTTTTGCCAACCCAACATTCTTCACATGCACAAGGCAATCAAGATTTAAACCCATGTCTGCCTCAGCAGACGTGAACTGCACAAAAAGAGCAGTGGAACTGCCCACATCAAGCATTCATATCAAAGTCTCCTTATGGAAAGATAGAGATGGCCTTGTGGAACATGCAATTAAAACTCCTACACCTGCAAAGAAGAAAGATGCAAACCAGGTTTTCTTTTTTAGTTTTGGATGGGAGACTCAGCCACTAACATCAGCTTTCTCCCCAAAACACTGGGGACATGGCAGAGCAGGGAGTTTCCCCACTCTCCAGCTCAACACACACCTTTCCCTCATTTCCCCTCTGCTGCTCTATATATGACAGAATCCTTCCCTCTTTCAAACTTAACCCTTTCCTGAGAAGGCTCTGCCTCCTCTCTGCAGGTGCTGCTGTTCACAAACTGACAGGAAAGAAAAACAACTCCAGCCCCCACACAGAGATACCACAAAAGACAAATTCCCTGGGGAGATATTAAGTAACTGCAGGAGCAGGATCATATTTCTCCAAGTTGCCTCAGAGAAGGCAGCAGAAAAGGAAAGATGAGAATAAACCTGCTTCCGGTGCACTCTGGCAGGGAAAAGGGAACTGGTAAAAATAGAGCAGGGAACCATCTTGAGGATGCAGCCAGCAGCTCCCACCCTGTTCCCCTCAAAGCCCAGATGCTGACGTTTCCTTCCTAAGGACACAGCCAAAATCAGCAAGTGTAACAATCTCAGAGTTGACCTGGGAGCAATTCAGACCTGTCAGTGCCTTTGATAATGATAGAAGTTTAATTTACAGCAGTTTTTAGGATGTTTTTAGGCTGTTTTTAGGTGGCCTTCTGCAGCCACCAAGGGATCTCTGGCCCAGGAACACCCTCACCATCCAAAATGTTCACAGCTTTTCCACTTCTCCTCTTGCCTGAAGCTCCTCACAGCCTGTTTACTCCAAGAAGCTGAGCTGCTGTCCAGTTGCCAAAAGGGCAGGTAGGTAACAGGAGCTGGACATTAGTGTAAGGAAAGACAAGCAGGATCTGATTGCTTCCAGAAACACCTGAGCTGTTTCATGGTGGCTGGGCCCTCAGAGCAGCATTGCAGTGAAACAGCACAGAAACAGCCACACAGGGAGACAGCCTGGCCACAAATAAGGCTCAAGTCCTTTCCCAAATCTTTAGAGCACAAAAATAATGACAAACAAGGTGCTAAAACTTTCACTTATTTGTGGGCAAAATAAATTGTCAGGCTTCACTCAGGCCCTTATAATAATGAACAGTAAGGGTTTAATTCTAGACATCCAGATTTATAGACATGCCCAAGCTCTAGATGTTTTTGTCAGCCTGAATTTCAATCAAAAAGAAACTGAGGGAACACCAGCAGTTCTGGAGTATCAGTTCTGTTTTCCACTTTCACTCCAAGCAGGGAATCACAATCAACCTGAAGAAGTTTCTCAAGCCCTATGAAAGCACAGAATGGTTTGGATGGACACACAGAATCACTAGGTTGGAAGAGACCTTTAAGATCATCAAGACCTTAAAACCCAAATAGTTCCACCCCCTGCCATGGGCAGGAAGAAATTTCCCTATGCCAGGCTGCTCCAAGCCCTGCCCAGCCTGGCCTTGGGCACTGCCAGGGATCCAGGGGCAGCCACAGCTGCTCTGGGCACCCTGTGCCAGGGCCTGCCCACCCTCACAAGGAAGAATTCCTTCCTAATGTCCAATTTGTCTGTGGGAAAGCCATTCCTCCTGGTCTTGTCTCTCCAAAGCAATTGAACAGTCCCACACCCAGGACCCAACAGCCTTTCCAGCCCCAGAGTCTCCAATCCCAGTGTTCCAGAGGTGCTCAAACCCACCCAGGCACCTTCCCCCAGTGTGTGAGTGCACAGCTGCCCCCTCCCAGCACAGCCAGCCCCAGCAGGGCTCTCACTGAGTAGCTGCAGGTCTCCCTGACCACCACCCTGTTGGCAAAGGTCTCGTTGTGGGCCTCGATGCGCAGCGTTCGCTCCCTCCAGTTCACCGTGTTCCTCTGGATGAAGAACACGTGCTCCACCCCTGCAATCTGAACAGCAGGGGAAACACTGAGACACAAGAGTAGCTTTAGGAGCCTTTATCTATCTGAGCCAGCCTACAGAATGCAGGCCTCTCTGCTCCCCAGGTTCCACCTGCCTTTTTCAGCAGCCTGGGAGCGTCCACGTTCAGCTTGCAGCTGCGCTCGATGACGTGGATGGCTCCGTCCTCGCTCCTGGATTCGTGCAGGATTTCACTCCCCAGGAACACTGGGATCTCTGGGCATGTAGGAAAGCGTTTCTCGTAGGCCTAGAAGTGAAGATAAAGTAAATTTCAGCTTCTGGGTAAATCAATTTTAACTGTTTCTGAATTAAATAATTCCCTTACAGTGAAAGTCCAACAAAACACAGCCCTCTGAACTCTGGAGTTTCCCCCAGTTTTCTCAGAGGTGAAGTTAAAGCACAGCACCATGTCAGTCACCAGCCAAACATGCCCTAACATAACTTTCCCTTCACACATGAAGTAGAAACAGGATCCTGTTGTTGAAGAATACTAGGAAGGGAATCATCACTTCAACATCAGGAAGCTCCTAACTAGCAAAAGCAAACAGAGCTCTGCTGATTTCTGCTGGCTAAAGACTGGAATATTATAATCTCTGGGTCAATACTGTTTGTATGAAGCCTTAAAATGTGATGTGCCAAACAGTTCTTGTTGCTCTAAACTATCAAGGGTAAGACCACCAATTATTGGCTACTGACTTTGCCTCAATTTATCACTTCTAAACCAACTCTGTCCTGGCTCTGAAATGTTCCCTGTTCTATCAGCACATCCCTGTGAAAAGCCCTTTCTCCAAAGCTTCTTTAGCAGCTCTAGCAGAAATCCACTCTTCCCTGGCACTTGCAGAGAAGTTAGCTTGCATGAATAGTACCTACTGCTGCTGCTCCTTCCCTAACTTCATCTCTTACTATATTCTAAGATGTTGGCAGGATGGAATGTTTTCCTTGGATTTCTGAAAAGCCTCTTGCATGTTGTGCTGCTGTTACAAATATGTGGGAGCTGCACAAGCTGCCCAGAACTCCACTGCAGCTGGTCCAGGAAGAGAACCTGTGCTCTCCTTCCACTGGACTCTCAGAGCTCCACATTTCCATCCTAAGATGTTTCTGCCATCTTTCCAAGGCAATTCCTCTAGGAACTGCTGTCATCTTCCCACCCTCCAGAAGACACCACCATTTTGTACAGCACAGAAAAATAAAAACATCCATGAGTTCTCTGGCCCAAAAGCAAACACTGCTGTGCTGATGCTGGAGCTGGGCTGGGCTGTCAGCTCCCCATTAACACAGCCATGCAAAGCCTGGATGCCCCTGCACAGATTCATGTCCCTGCTCCCAAAATAGCCCAGGCACTTAAGGACACATTCCAGATCTGCTCTCGGACCTCTGGACGGGAAAGGAGCTATTTCAGATTATCATGTTGCTCCAGTATCAGGAGGGAAGTGCAGGCAGCTGCCAGCTGGAGTCCTGGCCAGAACAGAGCACGCAGGTTTGAAATCCTGCTCTCCCAGTCCCTCAGCGAGGTCCTGCTTGCTTTGCCACACTTCTCAGAGAACTCTTCCCTGTTCTTCTACCTGTGCTTATCCCTCCTCATCACAGCAATAACAAAACCAGTTTAGATAAATCCAAATTCCCATGCTAAGTGACTGTTTTCAACAGTTTCCAACACAGACTCCCCTGGCTCCAGCCAAGAGAAGCACTCGCTGCTTTGAGCAGCTGAATTTGTTAGGATGGGAGCTCATGGATCTGTGTCAGGAATTGCCACAGGACACTCCCAGCCATCCTCTCCTGGTGCCCTTTGCTCCAGGGCCACCTGCACACCTCAGTACCTGCTCTCCTCCCTGCACTCACCAGCCCATTCATCTGCCCAGGCACAGTCAACACCTCCTGTTTGTGCTGGCACCTGCCCTGTCCCAACCCTCCACACTCCAAACCACCATCCAGGGCTATCCTGAGGTCAAAACCTGCACCTTGCTGGTCTCTTCTGTTCCAGCACACACAAATATCTCCTCAGGCCACCCATTCTGAGTTACTGGAGTCCTGAGTGCTTGGGCAGTGCATGCTGAGAACACCTCAGAGGTCACTGGGATACCAGAATATTTAGCAATTGGTTTTGGGCACTTTGTCCCACGTCACTCCATACCTGTGCCCTCAACACAGCTGCAAGAAGTGCCACTGAAAGCCCTTCCCTGAGAGAATGCTGCCCCAATTAACTCCACAGCAAGGGTGGACAGATTGATAGGACAGTGGGAAAGGGTCTTAAAGTAAAAGAGGACACACTTAAATCAGATGTTAGGAAGAAATTCTTCCCTGTGAGGGTGGGCAGGCCCTGGCACAGGGTGCCCAGAGCAGCTGTGGCTGCCCCTGGATCCCTGGCAGTGTCCAAGGCCAAGCTGGACAGGGTTTGGAGCAGCCTGGGACAGCAAAAGGTGTCCCTGCCCATGATGGCAGGGCGTGGGTGGGACTGGATGGGCTTTTAAGGTCTCTTCCCACCCAAATTATTCTGTGATTCTGCCCTTTCAGGGGTGCAGCTGTGCCAGGAACATTTGAGGGAATTTCCAGACAAACAAGAGCTGTTCTAGTGGGACCAGGACCCTGAACAGCTTCACCTGGGTAGCTTCACTACCCCGGGGGCAGGCAGAGTGCCTCTGTCTGACCTGCTGAGCAGACCTCAGCTGGACAAGAGAAAGGATTTTATAGATAAAAACCAATAAACAACCTTGAGACTGAGAAATTAAGAGCTCTGACTCTTTCTTCACCATGGAGGGACCACAAAAGCCAGTCTGAAACCACCACTGAATGCAGCTGTCTGTGGCTCCCACCTGAGGGTAAAGCACTGGATCTCAACTCCCAGCTGCCTCTTTCTCCACTAACTATGGAGCTGATCCAGCTGGAAACAGGCTCCCTAATAAACTGTCATTAGATCCAGCAAAACTGAGACCAAAACTGAGTGCAGGCACTTTTTCAGTCAGCTAAACAACATCTGGAGCAGGAAGAGAGGCCAGGGCAGAGGCACATGGCAGGGCACAGCCTGGTGATATAACTATGACACGAGCCCAAACACATTGCCTAAATAGGGGGAACACTGCCATATTTGACAAAGAATCCATATCCACATCGATATTAAGTCCTTTGCTAATCTTCTTTGCACAACAGCTCTAAAAATACAGCAGGGAAGATGCCTGAGATCACATGAAGGACAGCTGAAGCCCCACGCTGCAGTCACAGCAAAGCTGTTCCCAGAGCACCCAGACTTCCCATCCCTGCAGACTGAGCTGAGCAGAGAGCAGCCCGTTCCTGCACCCAGCAGAATCCTCTTACCAAAATCCTCCTCTTTGCTGCAACAGGGAAACTGAGGGAGCTTAGAAAGACAGAGAAATGCTTATTTTTTTTCAAGCTATCACAAAGCTGTTATGTCTCCTCCTCTGTCAGGACCCAGGACATCCCTCTGGCTGTCCTGAGCAGCCAAGACCCCTGCCACAGACCCTGGCACAGAGCCCAAAATGCCCCTGTGGTTTTGATTATGACCCATGGAGCAAGTTACCAACCTTAGATGAAAATCTGCAAGCCGTGATAAATTAAGTAAAATGACAGTGAATTTATCACAAGGTGAAAAAGTAGATTTTGGGGTTTTTAGAATGGAGATTCAGGGGGGCAAGATGGAGGGATCTGGGCATGTCCAGCCTTTCTCCTTCTTCTTCTTGGCTTCCATCTTCTGCTCTGATGTTGGCACTCACAGATTGGTTTAGAGTAGAAGCTCGCTGTCTAACATAGGGGATAGGTATTGGAAAGTAATTGTAAATATTGTATATGTAGTTTTTAGTATAAAGATATAACACTACTCTGGGGGCAGGCAGAGTGCCTCTGTCTGACCTGCTGAGCAGACCTCAGCTGGACAAGAGAAAGAATTTCATAGATAAAAAACAATAAACAACCTTGAGACCGAGAAATGAAGAGCTCTGACTCTTTCTTCAAGCACCGGGCTGGGAAAAGAGACTTTCAAACTTCTCTCGAGGTCACTCTGACGAGCTAGAGATCTCGACACCCCTCTGGGATTCTGCAGAGTCCAAGGTGGACAACAGAACATCCCAGAGAAATGAAAGGCACAGAGTATTTGGTATTAATTGTTTTAATGCTTTGGCTGCACTTGCTCTTTCAGCTCCTTCCTGCAGGAGCTCTGCACTGAGCAGGATACAGGAATTAGGATTTGTCTCTCCCTTCTGTGCCTCTCCTTTCCCAGAAGGAACAACAGCAGTGTTGTGCCAGCACTGGGTGTTAGAGCTCTGCTGTGGGACTGCACTTCAGACTGACACTGGGGTGACTAAAGTCTCCACCAGAATCAGATATATATCAAATATAAATATATAATAAAATTAATGCTGCCATGAAGCCACTCCCTCCCTTCCTGTAAACCCCACTGGGATTAACACCTCATACCCAAACCAACCATTCCACCAGAGCTGCTGGCTCAGGACCAGCGTCCTTCCCTAAATCAAGTTGGTTTTCCCCAGATTTCTGACAAAAGAATTGTTGCAAAAATCAGTGCTTTTGTTGTAGTGGACTGTGACCAACAGTTCAAAGAGTCATTTAAATCTCTGCAGTCCTGAAACTGAAATTACACATTCAATTTCACAAGAGGGCTGAGAGAAGACAGAGGGACCTGGAATCTGTTTGAACTCATCAAGATTGTTTGCTTAGAATTATAACCAATTATTTCTGGGTGCATCTAAATGTAAAAAAAAAAAGAAAATAATAATTCAGATACAGTTCATTGGAATAAAAAAATTCGACAAAGAAGAAATTAAATGGAAAAAAAAGGTGAAACAATTTCTAGCTGAAAAGTTAAAACATGCAGGAAAGTTCAAGATCTCAAAGGTTCAATAGTGTCAGATTTTCCTTTCACCCTGAAGAGAGCCCAAAGTAGGATAAGGATATTTCCAAGTGGTTACAGTGACCTCTGCATCCCAACAAAGACCCCTTAGTGCCACTGAAGCTGACAAATGATTAATTACAAGGAGCAATCATTAACAGTGACACAGCTGAGTGTGAAATCAGCAGAGTGCTCTAACCAAGGTTTTGCCCTGGGATCTCCTGGGAAATACATCCAAGTGGTTTTACCTGCTGTGGTAAATATCCATCCCAAATGGATTATGCACCAACACTGAAAAGTGAAAATCAGCTTGTGAGACGAGGAGACCTTGAGAACAATGCAAGAAGCCATGCTTGGAAGTGTTCTGGACTGCTGGCTAAATACTCAGC